TCTGTCCCAGTCGAGCCCACGAGCCTCTCACTCGGTCCTTCTCCACGAAGTCGATGAAGGCCGTGCGCTCCACCTCCACGGGCTGCCCTTGCCGGTCATACATGGCCAGCACGAAGTGGAAGAAGTTGGATTTCCTGAGGTTGGAGGGAGGCTGCTTCTCAAAGTGTGCCCGTGCCAGGCCCACGCCACTGCGGGAGGGAGAGGGGCGGGCAACCACCGTAAGTGCTCTCAGAGAGGGGATTTAGCTCTGACATGTCAGGAGTTTGGGCAAGGAATAAACTAGATGGGTCCGTTTCACCCTTGCCAGGGTCATCTCAGTCGCAGAAAGAGGCCTCTCAGCCCCGAGGTCACCCCTTGGGAACAGGCAATGGCAGCGAAGGTGCCTCTGCCAGGCTTCCTCCCAGGCTTCTCCCTGGACCCACATTTTGAAAGGCTCATCTCCAAAACAAAATGCATGGACAACCCACCTGACTGACCAGAGGCTCCTGTGACTGCCCTTAGGGCACCAAGGGCAGTTAGGAGGTTCTGGAACAAATACCCCACTGCACCCCAGTCCATGGCTATGTACACGAGCCTGCAGCATTGCCTGGGAGATGATGATGTCCATCGGGCTCTCCGAGATGTCACACTGGCTCAGGGCCATTAGTCTGCCCAGCCGGGATCCTGGGCTGTGGCTGAAGGCAGGGGACACCCTCTCCAGGTGTGGAGGAACCTGCCTCCATGCTTTGGGAGAGACAGACACTGGCTCCCTTGGGCAGGAGGATCTTTTGGTCTGGCCTTGCCAAAGGCTTTCTCCTGGTTCATCAGAAACTATTCCCAGAAGCAAGGCCAGGCAAGAGCAGGAGGAGGAGGACCAGACCCTTTCTACCAAATATTTCCTGAACTCCAATGATATACCAAGCATTGAACACATGGCACGGAGTGGGGCTCGAGCTAAATGCCTGGAAGGGCAGGGAACACAGAGAGCTATAACCCAAGACAAAGTGGTAGGTGCCCTTCATTCTTCCTGTGAGAGATGAAAGAAAGACTTCATGTAGATGGTAGCTTTTTACCTGGTCCTTGAGGCATGACCAGGAGTTCAACAGGTGCAACAGACAAAAGAGCAGACCAAGCAGCGGAAGAAATGGCTGCAGGCGTGAGGGTTAGTGCCACTGGACTACAGATTTCAAAAAGTGAAGTGAGGAGAGAAAAGGCTGTTTTGGAAGTGCTAGACTACGCAGGGCACAAAAAGAATCTACACTTTCTTTTTGGGGTCAGTGTGTTCTAAAGCGCATCCTTTAGATCTCATAGCTCCAGATCCTTCCTCTACAAAAGGGTGCTATGGCCATAACTGCTGGAAAATGTGGCTCTATAGCATAAACTTGCGTATGTGAGGGGCCCTGGGGCACCATCCCGGAGTGGACCCTACTTGACCTGGCTCAGGCTGGTGCTCCCGTCCGGTGTGTGGTAGCCAGCCTCCAAGGCGGTTCCCCAGCACCCCCACCTCCTGGTATTCGTGCCCTGCATAGTCCCCTCACATACTGTATCAGGACTGGTCTGTTGGCTGATAGAGTATGGCACTAGTGATAGCATATGATTTCCAATGTTGGGTCATAAAAGACACTGTGGCTTCTGCTTTGTTTTTCCTCTTGGATCAGTCACTCAGGGGGGAGCTGGCTGCCATGTTGTGAGGACATTCAAGCAGCCTTATGGAAGGTCCACATGGAGAAGAGCTGAGGCCTCCTGCTGACAGCCAGCACTAACTTGAGACACCTTGGAAGGAGATCCACCAGCTCCAGTGAAGCATTCAGAGGACCACAGCCCTGGCTGTCACCTTGACTGCAGCCTCTTAAAAAACCCTGAGGCATGGTGACTATAGTTAATAACACCATACTGTATATTTGAAGTTGCCAAGAGAGTAGACCTTAAAAGTTATCACACACACAAAATTTGTAACTTTGTGTGGTGACAGATGTTCACTAGTCTTACTGTGGTGATCATTTTGAAATAAATACAAATATCGAATCATTATGTTGTACACCTGAAACTAATATAACTCTATGTGTCAATTATATCTCAATTTTAAAAATAAATTACTTACTTGCTTTTACAAAAGAAAAGAAACCCTGAGCCAGAACCACCCACCTATGCTGCTCCCTGATGTCTGACTCTCAGAAACTGTGTGAGATAATAAATTTGTCGTCTGATGCTGCTGAGTTTTGGGGTGATTTTTTATGTAGCAATAGACAACTAAGACACCATGCTTACTCAACTATGGAGCACTTTTGTTGAGGGGTATGGCTTGGGAAACATGACTAAAGGCCACCAGAAGAATCTGAACCCAGGCAGGGCTTAGAAGATGCTGCAGGCAGGGTGGGCACAGCGTGGAGGGAAGGTGAGAGGCTGCTGCAGAGGTAGAGGAGGGCGGGGGTAGTGGGGCTGACTTGAGAGCCATTTAGACCAGAGTCCCACCATGGACTTGCCCCTGTGACATCTGCCATATTCATCACCTCTTAAGATTATTCTTCATAAAGTTTAAAATCAACTTAATGAGCTTCATGTGAAATCATAATATCTGGGATGTCATGGGCTTGAGAGTTGAGAGGCTTGTCGTGTTGTTACTCATAGGTTACAGTAAATACATAAACAATAAAACGAAAATTTGTTCCTCCTCTTGAAAGCCTGCTTGGGAGCCTCTGGTCCGGGTGAAATGTTGGTTTCAGAGGCAGAAGTGATGGGTCTTGTTTGTCCAGATCAAGATGAGGGAGAGGGGCAGGCTACCAACAGCTCTTCCTCCCCAGAGGGTTTTTGTACGCAAGTTCCTCCCCCTAAGATCTTCCTCCTCCCTTTATCCCTCACCCTCTCTCCGCCCTCTCACCTCTTCCCCCTCAGGCTACAGTCCTTTCAAGTCCTGGCCTGGACTCTCCAAATTCCCAGTTACCTAGAGCCAGGGAAGCCCGAAGGGGGCTTTGATCACAGCAGGTCCCTGATTACTGCTGATGAACATGCTAACTGGCAGCAGCCCCGACTCCTCCCTCCAGTCCCCAGGACCCCAAGGGGGAGGAAAGCTCCCAGGGACAGGTTCCCAGACCACCCGGAGGAGAGGCCAGAAGGGGCGGGCTTGTGGAAGCATCCCAGATCACTTTGCCCTTTATTCTGCTGTCTAGCCCAGGAAAGACACTCGAGAGCTTTCAGACAGCAGGGAGTGAAGATGCAGAGAAGAAAAAAAAGGTCTAAAGAGAGGAGGGGCGGATGCCGGGAAGTAACACAATCCCCTAGACCACTCAACACACCCTTTCTACACAGGCACCCCTGTAAATCAATGATGCTGCCCTGAGCTTCCTCTCCCATCCCTCCCGCTTGGCAAGTATCAGTCAGTCCTGGGTCCTGGCTACCTGCTGGCTCCTGCCAGGCCCCTAAGAATCCACTGTCCCCACAGGAGGGGAGTCTCGGGTAGAGAGGTCAGATACCCTGACCTGGGGTCTGTGGACACTGGTGCTGCCAGCTGGGGAGCATGGAGGGGCAGCACTGCCTCGCAGGCCTGTGCTCTACCCCACAGTGGACTCAGGCTCAGTTCCACTCTCCCCGAGACAGCCCAGGGTCACTCTCTCTTCCCCACCTTGTTTAGTGGGTCTGAGGCACAATCCTCCTCCTGGGCTCACCCACTCACACAAAGCTATGGGGCAGAGGTGGTTAGTGTACAGCTCTGAGACAGGATCACAATCCTGAGCAACACAATTGTAACAGCCCCAGCCCCTGCAGACCAAAAGACTCCAGAATGGGCAAGCCCCCTGCTGGGCACAGCCAGGGCTGTTCCTGGTCTGTGAATGTCTCCAGTTTACCCTGTTCATACCCCAGCAGACATGTGAGAAGATCAAGGGGAGATAGAAAAGGTTTTGCTTTAAAGACATTCTAGTATTCCTATGAACAAGACAGAGAATGACAGGGGACCAGCACATCAGTGAGAGCACCGGAGGCTGGTCTGGACTATGCCTTTCTTCTCCTGGTTCCCTCAGGCACCGCCACCCCCAGCGAGCAGTAGGTGACCAACCAACATCCCTGAATGGAACTGTAAGCCCCAAAGGGAGAGGGTTGAGAGGGGAAAGGAGAGACTTTTGCTTTTATCCCCTTGGGACTAGCTGATGCTCTTGTAAAGAGAAAACAAACCACGATTAAAGAACAGAAAGAAAGAAACATAGAGATATGCTGAAACAACTCAGAAGAGAGATGGGATTCGGAGAGGACTGAGAGCCCTGCTGGGCAGGCCTGGGTGCAAATGTGTGGGATCCAGGTAGGAGATGGGCCCACTGTCTGCTCACACTAGCTTAGAGGCAGACAGTTGTGGATGAGGGCCACTGTCTCTGACTCCGTGGTCTCCAAAGTGGGGTTGCCCAAGTTCAGAATGTGGGGAGAAACTGGGAGGATGTTTATTGATATGACTCCTTTATTTAAAAGAAGGAAAGGAGGCAGGAGTAGAGCCCCTTGAGTCTGGAGAGGCAAGTGTTTTATTTGGGTTTCCCTAGAAGCAGGACTCTCAAATGCAAAGCTTATATGGGAGATGAGTCCCGGGAAGCACTTACAGGGATGGAGAGTGAAAGAGAAAAGGAAAGGCAATTTATAAAGGGTGCATTATTGAAAAGTTGCCACTGTGGGCAACTGCAGCTCAATCCCACCAGGAGCTCTGGAAACGGTCTAGAACACATGCTTCGGAGTTACTGTGCCAGAAGGCCAGAGGAGGGAGCTGGGGTATTTATCTACCAACTCCAGCCAGCCATTGGTGGAGGGCTTCTGGGATACTTCTCAGGTACTTCTGGCTTGAAGTGCAAGTGGGCAGAGCAGGCTCTGGGAGCCTAAGTAAGGGTTAGGAAGCAAATCCTGGCAGGGGAAGCAGACCCTTTACAAGGCTTCAAGGGGACATGGGTGGGGTGCCAATTACCAGTGGTGTTATGGAAGCCAGCAAAGCTATAGCCCAAGGGCCTGCATGCAGCCTGGCAGATGCCTCACCTGGTACATGTGTTGCTGGGGCCTGTAATTCAGAAACAGCTCATTCACTTAGCATCATTAGTGCACAAAGCCTGCCACATAAGCACCCTTTGCAGATAAATGCAGCTGAGTGATGAAAACAGTCGCATTAACCACTTTTTGTAAGACTCCAAAATGAATTACACATCTCGCTTTCTTAGAAAGATTGTTTCCATTGAAATGTTCAAAACACTTTCCTATCAACTCTGGAGTGTGGTGAGGTGGGCCATTTGCTCCTGTACTAAAGAACCAGGATGTGGGAGGAGAAAGTGCCTGTTTTCATATTTCCACCAGGGCCCACTCACCCCCTTCCATCTTCTGTTCTGAAATAGTCCCAAAGTTAAAGGTGACTGTGACAAAAAAGCTTTGCTTTGCATAGCTATTTTTGGTGGGAGGACACCTGCCTTGTAGTAAGCATGGTGTGTGCATCGGCTTTCTGAGTACTGTGCTGGGAGTCCAAGTTCAAGTTGACACCAAGGACAACCTGACCTTCACAGCCTGGGCCATTCACCTGGCGTGTGCTCCAGAGTATAGGGGGGGTGCATATGGGGTCATGCTGGGGATGCAAGTTGTCTTGCTGCTATTGCTAGGGCCACCTAGTGGTCCCACTGCCACCCAGCGGTGCCTGGAGGTGCTCCTTTGTGAGGCTGAGCAGGATGCCCCAGGGTCCTTCTTCCAAAAGCTGCTGGGCTTTGCCATGACTGGGTAGTACAGACAATACGTCCCCCTCACCGTCTCTGCTCTGTCCTCAGGCCACTAGTGGTTCCTCACATCCTTGACTACATGGTTATTATAAACACTAGCAGTTTAGACCAAGCATCTCAAACCACAGAGAACAAGTGGCTGAAGCTGGAGCTCTGGCTTCCCCCAGAGGCACCGTCAGGCCTCTTCCTGCCCCCGCCTGGACCAAAGCCTCCTTCTTACCCTCCCTGGCAGCCCAAGGTTCTGAGAAGTGCCTTGGCTTGGGTCTCATCTGTGTCATCTGGGATGCTGGGGAAATGGGGACAAGCCCCGAGGTATCAGCAATGAGGGGAGGCTGCTTTTTGACCACCCTCCCCCGAAGGTAGAAGGAGCAAAAAGGGTATGTCTCCTCCATCTCAACCCTTGTCTCGGGTTTCCCTAAAGTCTCTAAGTCCTGCTCTTCCTTCCCTCCCCTGGCATGGTTCCCTAAGTGCCCCCCTTCCTTTCCTCTGCATCCTCGCCTCCTCCAAGCATCCCACAGGCCCCCATTCTCCCTGCAGGCATCCCCGGCACCCCTGGGACTGTTGGCAACCATCAAGCTAGGCCTGGCATTCCTGGCCCTAGCCAAGATCTATTGGCTTAGCCCTGCCCAACCCCACATGCCAGTCTGGCTGTGCCACAGACCAGGGAAGATAGAAGCAGCAGCTCGCTGGGGCGCACCCACCTCGACCACATGGGCAGAGAAGGACATGGCGGCTAGAGGCAGCTGTTCAGAACCTATGTCCAGAGGGGCCTGCCGGAAAGAGAGGAGGCTTTGGGGGCTGTTTCATGTCCCCTGCTCCCACTGCCCCCGCCGTGGCTCTGATCACCTGCCCCAGGAAATTGTCTCAGCCACCGAGGTCCCTAAACAAGGGGGAAAAAGACTGCCCACCCTGCTTCTTTCTGCCCATTCCCTCCCCACCCACCCACAGGCCTGTCTGCCAGGTCCCAGGCTGAGGAGTGGCTATTAATTATTAAAGCAAACAAAAGCATTTCCTAGCAGGGAGGGTAGCCTGCAGCTGCTTACAGGAAAGGCAGCCCCAGCTGGCTTGCCCCTCAGGGCCCTGCAAGTGGGATGGAACCAGGTCAAGGGGAGGCTGGCCTGGGTCCTCCTCAGGTCTCCCCAGGCAGGGAATCACATCAGAGAGAGAGGACAGCTGCTTCTGTGCTGAGCACTCTAACAAGACGATGTGGGTCTGAAGGGGAGTCCAGGGAAGGTGGGCTTGAGCTGGGATATGGGTCTCAAAGATAAAGTTCTGTTGGCCCAGAGTAGGGCCAGTCATGGCAATGGCCAGGGTCCTGTGCAGAGTTCCACACGCAGAAGACCCTGCCAGTCCCCTGCATCAGCCTTCCCTTCCCTTCACTGTTGTCTCGAATTATGAGGGTATGCAGCCCCTCTTTTCCCCCTGTCCCTCTTTTGCTGAGAACTCCTTCCTGTTGGCAGAGCCTCCCTCACTGTTCTTAGGCTCTGGGTCTTCTCCTCCTCTAGCTTCTGTAAAACCTTGGCTTTGTAGAGCTGGAGAGCAGCAGCTGCTCCAGTACCCGGTTCCTGGGATAAGGGAGGTCCTGGAGACCACCAGTGTGGAGAGGGGAGTCCAACAGAAAGGGATTTAGGAACCTTCCAACATGCCCTCCTGCTTCCTTCTGCAGGTGCTCATTGCCCCTCTACTGACTGCTCGAGCCTGTACTCCTAGCTCTGAAGGAACAGGCTGGCAGGGCAATGAAGCTCGGGAGAGCCAGGGCACAGCTGACTCTGGCCTGTGGTAAGCATCCTTAGGCAGCACTAAGAACCATTCCCCTGGGCTGGGTAGGAGGGCACAGAGAGATAAGGTACTGGGTAAAATTATTAAGCGGGCATGTGGGTACTGGGGGCAGGGGAACTATTTCAACAGACATTGCTGAGCGACAAGTATACAGAGGCTGCAAGGAAATTTAGGGTCAGACTGTGATGGGCCTTGAATGCTGACTATTGGGGGAGAAGATGGGGGTCACTGAAGTTTTTAACTGAAGAGGGACACGATCAGAGAAAAGTTCTTTGGAAATATTGCTTTGATCTCTGTTGCAGGGCAGATGATTTGGGGGAATGGTGGGAGGCTGAGGCTGGGCAATAGGAAACACGAGTAGGTTAACCTTCAGCCAGGGAGGAAAGTGTGGGAGGGCCAGGGGGTGTCATCATTAAAAGTTGGCCGTGGGCACTGAGGTTAGGAGGTCACAGAGGGAACTTCCAGAAGCCTTGACAACCAGGTGACTATGGGGCAGAAGGGGAACATCAAAGACAACTGTCAGATTCCATGCAGCCTTGGGAGAAGTGCTCCTGGGCAAGTTTCTCAGAGATGAGAGGGACAGGAACCAGGCAGAGGTTGAAGAGGGAGGCGGGGAAGGGAAAGGAAGTTTTGTTGTTGCTGTTTTAGGATGGGAAGACCTGAGCATAGGACCAACTGGGGATTGAGATACAAACAGGAGAGAAGCTGGGCTGTCTCGTGGAGAAGGGATTAGACTGCTCTGGGAAGGTGGCCCAGAGGCCCTCAAATGTGGAGGAAGAGCCTCCCAGGCTGTGTCCTAAGACAAGCCTCTGGAATTGGAGGAAAGTAGCCCAGGCCTGAAGAAATACCCCCTTTCAAATTGGGGAAGCCTTCTGAGTCCCAGCAGTGTGGCCCTGGGGACTCATCTGACCCCCAAACATCAGTCAAGACTTCCACTGTGAACACAGCTCTGCTGGTGGCCTAACCCCCAGGCAGAGCCTCATGCGCACACTGCCTGCACCCACACAAGCTACAAGGACACTGCCTCCTTCACATCTGCTTCCCCTTCATCCAACATGCTGCCTGGGGCTGCGACACAGGGGAAGGGAGAGAGAAACAGGAACCTTAAACCCCAGAGACCCCACTGGAGTACGCTATCTACTGTCATAAAGAGCTTTCACTACATAGCCAGTGGTGGAGAACAACATGGGGCCACATTAAGAAACTGACCACATCAAGTTAAATAAAAAACCAGAACCAACAGAAGAACAGGCAGGATACAGAAATGTATGCATGGCACAGGAAAAAACATGGTAATGAGAAGAAAGATGGGAAGGAAATACACTAAAATGTTGACAGTAGTTGTATTAGAGAGGTAAAATTTTGTTTTCAATTTTCCAGTTTTCTGAAATACAGTTACATCATGAATGAATTAATTCATAGGCAAGACCTTTCTCTTCCCAAAGGGATGAGCTCCAGAGAGAACTCCCAGCGCTCCCTCCTGACAGTCATAAAAGGACAGGAGTGCACAATCACTGACTCAGTCTGAGCATGAAACAGGTGTGCGTGTGTGCTTAGGGGTACGGGTGGGACTGGACTATAAGTGGTGTCCCCTAGACAGGACGAGGGATGTGAATGTATGGCCCAGGGGCCAGGCCTGCTCTGCCCTGGCAGCCTCCTACCAGAATCCCTTCAGGCTGCTGGACAAGCAGCTGCTCAGGGCCCTGGGAAGCCAGGCTTTCACAGTCCCAGCTGCCGGCAGAGGCAGCGGCCCCCTAGTCCTCCCCCCACCCCCCCAGGGATACAAAAAGTTGGGTTCCGAGTGTTATGGGGGCAGGCAAACAAATCTTTAAACTTCCTTTCCAAATCCAAGAGTCCATCCCCCACCCAACCTCCCTGCCCAGACTCCTGCAAAGGAGTCAAGGAGATGGGTGTGGGCTCTGGGTTCCCAGGGACACCCTGCCTCCCGCAGGACCTACAGAAAAACACCTTGAGAAGAGGCGGGACCTGAGCGGCCCTGCCCCATTCCCAGCCCCAATCATTCCAGCCAAGCGGACTGCCCACCTCACCTTAGGCCTGCACACCCTGCACACCCACCCTCCAACTCTGAGGGGCGTGGGAAAGCAGAAAGGGGGCTGGATGTGTGCTTTTCCCCGCAGAGGGTCGGCGAATTGGACCCGAAGGGGTACAGGGACTGCCCAGGAAGCAGGGGTTGGCCATTGCTTGACAGCTGGCGGCTGTGGGACGAGGCTCTGGGGCGGCGGGCAGCCGGATACCTCTTCCGCTAGAGCCACGGCTGGCCCGGCCCGCTCGTGGCAGTCAGAAGTCAGAGCCGGGACAGCCACGAGCGGAGGCAGAAGCCCCGGCCCGGCCCCCCC